GCAAGGTGTAGAATAATAGTCTATCATTTATATTGACAATAAGCACACTCAAGTGCACATAGTCTCAGAAGGAAGGACACAAATTACTGGGAAAAGTAGGTGCCTCTGGAGAGAAACTGAACCACCATGAAACAGGGTTAGAAGAAAAGTTCATTTCTCTAACTATAAGTTAGAAATTCTAGGGCTTAGATACTAATCTATTCATAAGTACATGTAATTACATAAACAAAGATATGCTAGATCAGAATTGTAAACAGAAGGTTGTTCATATAGAAACCTACCCTGGGAGAGTCCGAGTTTACCAAACTGAAGAAGCTAAAGGGTCTCCCAGCCATCCCTGTCTTTGCTACCAACTTCTACACTTCCGTACTTCATGTTAACTAGAGCTGTTAGGGTCAAAGACTGGGGCCCTGACAACCCTAAGAAGTTAGCTCCACCTGCCCTCAATGCTACAGTTAAAGAGGAAAGTAATGAAGCCAGGTGTGGTAGCATATGCCTTTAAGCCCAGCACTTGGGAGGCAGAGGTAGGTGGATCTCTCTGTGAGTTCGAGGCAGTGTGGTCTACATAGAGTTCCAGGCCAGCTGTGCTACAGAGAGACCCTATCTCAAAAAGATGAGGGGGGTGGGTAATGCAAGCAATGGTGAAAAACAGAGAAAAGAACAAATAAAAGGTCTGGTGAACATTCAAGTCCCTCCTCCCTGTCCATCTTTGAGATCCTGATCTGAGGTTTAGGCTTAAACAGAAGGCAGAGGTTTGCATAACTAAGCAGTCCCGGGTGTGATTTTCACCATGTGTCATTGTCTCAGCTGCATCTCTACTGCACCATGGCCTGATAAGCCCCCACAATTGTGTGGGGATCTCTTTCTGGTACCTCCTCTGGCTGACACTAGACTTCAACCCTGTCCTCCTTCCAGCATGAGAGTCCAAGGGAAATTCCAGTTCTATGGGGATCATTGTTTCAATAGTCTTGAAGCTAAAAGGGGAGAGTCTCTTTAGAGTATCTCCCTTCTGCCAAGACTGTTATATCCACTTCACCTACTCTACTTCCGTCTTTGGGTTACTAGAATGTCTGTCTGTATTTTGACTGTGGGTACACCCAGCAGGTCCCAGAACCCTCCTCCATCACTGCAGATAAACTCTGCTTCTCAAATATTGTAGCTCTGCCTGCTCACCGTGGAGCCACCACACTGGTAGGCAGCATACCAGACAAGGGTTTGTGAGGACACCTGTCCAGCTGCCAGGTGTTCAGAACAGGTTTTCAGCCACATGGTTTCTTCTGACCTGACTTTAACCGTCATTCCATTTCCAAGAATTTGTCCTGTAATCCTCTTTTATGATAAAGGCTGAATTTTTAAGAGATAAGAGATTTTAAAAATCAGGGGCTATAAAATTACTAGTATAAGGAAGCTGAGTGACGTATTTTTTTATGCCTTAGATTAGTAGGAATTGTCACTATACTTATAAAGAAGCACAGTTTCCTAGACTAAACCACACCAAGCACCTGTCACTCGCCTGAGAAGTAGCTTAATCGTAGCTATGTGCTTACCTAGGCTTGCATGCGAAGAAACTTGAGTAGTCTACACTCAGCAGGAAGGGCAAAGGATCTTGGATGCTGACCCAACAAGAAAAAGAGTCGAATTTAAACTCACAGGGACTGTCTCCAGTAGAAATGATACTTGACTCTCCCAAAGAAACCAAATTCTGAAAGATTGTAACATCTGAATTTAAGTCCTCATCGGACTGATGAAGTCTGGGAAATGACAAATATTGTGCTGTTGATAAGGATGGTCCACCCGTTTTTATTTGTGGCTCGTGTAACAGTTTGGCAATGTTTAATTGAAGCCAGCTTGTCCTGGCTGGTCATAAAGATGCAGTCCCCTAATAAGTGTGGTATAAGCTGGACTGCTCATTGTTCTGAAATTCTACTGAAAGGCTTTCAGAGCCCATTACTGATACTTAACTAGGGTTGGAGATGGGAGAAGAAATAACTTGTCAAGGCAGGTGAAGAGAAGTCATGTGTTTCCAGCAATTCCTGCTGCTTCTATGGGGACGCAAAGCTGTCAGCACTCTGATGTCTCTCATTTAGGAAGTTCTGAACATCTTCTAGCAAAGACTTTTCCAATAAATACTTGTTGAAAGAGAAAGATCTGGCTCTTTTCTTCCCAGTTGACGCTTCTAGTTATTATCCCCTGAAAAGGCTTTGTCTTCTTGTTAAAAGAAAAAAAAAAAATTTAAAAAAAAAAAAACATTTTATTTTCATGGTCGAGAGAAATTGGCTCAGCTTCATTTTCAGTAATTCCCAGTTCCTGAGAGCCTTGGGGAAACATTCCATTTCCCTCCTACACTCTGCTCTCTCAGACACGGTAGGGTGGGCCTCTGCTGCTATTTGGTTTCTACCTGGTAGTCTGTTACTTATAAGATCGCCAAGGTAAGGGGCTCTTGCAGGAAAAGTTACTTGTTGGGAAAGGCTTGCTTAAACCTGCAGCACCTTTAAGTAAACAAAAACCTAAAACTAAATTAGCTCATAGATGGAATTCACTTCCTCTTAGAGACAATACATAGTTAATCCCACATCAATCAGCTTACAAATGACCAGTATGAGTGCTATGGAAAATAACAGAAATTGCCTGAGTTTTAAGGAACTTAAGGAGTGCTTCAATAACTAAGACCTTTGGCAGAAAAGCCTGCAGCTCAAAGCATCTATGGAGTAAGTACCTGGTGAGGTAAGAATGAAGAAGAAACCTGAAAGGAACCATGTAGGAAGGAAGGCTTGGAAGACACTGGGCTTCTGGTCCAGCTAATCAAGGACAAAAACAGTGAAGACAAACACCAGTGGAACGCTTAGTGGGGCGGGAATATCTGGAAGTGTTTGCACTGAAGGCCACTGTTTGGATTGGCTGTTTAGAGATGTGCATCAAAACAACCACCATATGAGATTAAAACCTTAGAACCCTGAACTGCACAAAAGTGTCTGCCCAAGAAAGGTCAGGTCAGAGAGGGGCTGAAGTCCAGCCCAGCTTTGCTTCCTCTTCAATATCTTCCTGAGCTGCCTGTACCCAGAGCAAGGGGCCAGGCTGAGTATCAGGAGGGCCACCTCCAAACAGTGCCACCTTCTTCTGAGTGCTTCTTATAGGAGTGGCTGTTTCTACACAAAGGTCTATTCATGGCTGTGCCTCTGAGCCAATGTGGCTCAGCATAAAATTTAGTAAATATTTAAGTGAATGGTAAAATGAATTAAGTTTTACAATCAGTCTCCTTATTGAACAAGGGCTTCTTAAGTAGATTTCTGCCAGATGCTTTTGAACTACAGTATGGACTAAGCCTCTAAGTGCTTTGAGAAGAACTGATGAGTAGAGGGCTAGGCCTGTATCCTCAGTACTTGTCCACTTAGGAAAAGAGAAAGACTAACTACCACACAAGAGCACGAGCCGTTCCTAGGGATTATTGAATGGTCCACTTGTCAGTTATGCTTAGTCTTGATTTCTGTACAGGATAGGACTCCCCCTGAGTGTGGCTTGCAATGTTCACATGCTGGGAAAAGTGATGAGCAAGCAGCCAGAGAGCTTAACTAACCCATAGCTTAACTACCTGCCTGGTTAGATGCAGGTGAAAATGTCAGATAGGTGATAACTTAGCATTAAAATCAGCTAATATGGGGATGGAGAGATGACTCGGTGGTTAAAAACACTGGCTGCTCTTTCAGAGGACCTGGGTTTGATTCCTAGCACCCACGTGGTGGCAAACAACCATCTGTAACTCCAGTTCCAGGGGATCTGATGCCCTCTTCTGACTTCCATGGGCATTGCACAACATGGGTGCAGTTACATACATGCAGGCAGTGCATTCATACACAAAAAATAAAAATAATAAAATATTTTTAATCAGCTAATATGTCACCGCAATGCCATTTTATTACATCTGTGTACAACCACAGCGGAGGTCTCACAGCATCAGAAGTATGACTCTTGAGTTCTTTGCTGCACAAGTTAACATCTGGACCATGAGTAGCACCCTCTGTTCTCTCTTCAGTTTTCTTTCCCTCCTGCTTCCCACAACGGGAAGCAGTTTTCATCCACCGACTAGGGGTACTGACGTCATGCACCACCCATCTGTTTGTGGGTGGTTCGGTGAACTAACCTCTTAACTTACCCTCTTTTCTACTCTCTTCCTGTCTCTCTTTTTACCAAAGTCAGGCCTAGTTTTTCCAGTCTATTGATCATGAATACCGACCACTACTGCTCTAGACTTTGTGGTGAGTGGGTTAGTATAAAGATGAATCCGATTCCTACCCCATCTTAGAGCTCTCACTGAGTAAGGTGGATAAATGAATGAATAAAAAGTGGATGTGGAAGGGATGGATGGATGAATGAGAAGAATACGTGCACAAATACCTTACAGATGGATCAAACTGAGACAAATGCTAGCTTTGTGAACCAGTGAGAGCCTCAGATTTCTCACATACAAAATGAAGGTAATAATTCCTTCTTAGCCTGGGTGGCTATAAAGATTAGTCTGTAAATTGCTTAGGGAAGTACGCAGTTAAAACAACAACCCAAAGTGGGACCGTCATAAGGACAACAAAAGGTGATAAGTGACATAGGAGAAGTGCAAACAAAGAGGGTGGGGGTTCTCAGCACCTGCAGGAGGCCACCCATGTGTGTGTGCCCTGCGCTTGCGCACAGGGTCCCTCCCAGCCTCCAGGTGCTCCATTGCCCAGTACCTGCCTAGGCTGGGCAGACCCACAGGCACAGACAGACCTGAGCTGAGGGAGTCCTTTACAGTCAGGACATTTACAAGCAAAGCAGGTGTCACCTGCAGCTACTGCCCTTGAGGCTCCAACAGGGAGGCCTTAGAATAGAGTTGACTGGGGACGGTCCCAGCTGTCAGAGTTGCCAGGAATGAGAATTCTTCCTCTCTCCAGAACACGAGACTGCTTCATCGTTTTTCCTTCCACCTCCCTCTGGATGTCTAAGGTGAAGCTTTTTTCTCTCTTCTCCAGCTCGGAGGCCGAGAATGGTGTGGAGGACAAAAAGAAGACCAACAAGTCTCCAACAGCCCAGTCCCCTACCTCATCAGTGGAGGCCGAGTCCCCAGACCAGAAGAGAAGCATTGGCTTGTGGTGAGTCTTCAGTTGACTCCTTGTTCTCGGGCTTTGGGAAAGAGCCCATGTATCTAGTTTTACGGTCGTTGTTATAAGTGAGGTTCTACTGTAGGCAAATAATGCCCTAATTATTTGGGCATTTGGCCCTCATCCTTGATACCCAGGCCCTGGTACTTGCTTCCCACCATCATGTCTCGCTCCTGCTTTCCAGCCTCCGAAGAATGGCTGCCCCTGGCTGGAAGCGCTGATTTTCTGACTGAGGAGGCCAGGAAGCCCGCTCTCAAGTGGACAATAATAAAGCACCCTCCAAGGCTGTCTGTTCAGCCTCCGGATGTACACAGCTGGCCCTCACTTTCCTGGGAGCCTGGGGAAGAGTCAGAGAACACATCCTGAGGATCTGCCAAGCTACCCACGTCCTGTAACCGGACTGTGAAGGAGCTCTGGCATGGATGGGAACTAGGAGGAGAGAAACAGGTTTTTGAGATGTGTAGCCGTAGGCCCTGTCGCTCCAGAGGCATAAGCTACCACAGAGAAGTTTGAAGGTGCTTGAAAGGCTTTAGAAGAGAATGTTTATCCCACTGACCAGCGAGGAGGAATAAGTGTGGAAAGGGTTTCCTAATTTTGTTTTGTTGTTTGTTTTGGTTTTATGTGGTACTGGGCATCAAATCAGGGGTCTCACATAGACTATGCAAGTATTCTACCACTGAGCTACATCCCCAGCCCTAAATGTGGTTTTAGAAATCTCTGCTAAGGGTGAATACTTTCCTCCCCATTATTGAACTGTTAGAACTCTATTGACTTCTCCCCCTTTTGGCTTCTGCAAAGGGGATAATTAATTGATTCCTACCTTTTACTTGGTTCACCGAGGCTGTCTTGATTCCTCACTCAGACCCCTCTTTTTTTTCCAGCTTCCACCCCCAGTTACACCTGTCTTTCCTGTTTTGTGGCAGCTCACTTTTCACCATTTTTCTATAGCTGTCTCCCATCAGAGCATCCTGCCCTCCTCACCAAATGACTCTCCACATAGAGTACATTGTTTTGTATCTCTTTCACCGCTGTGGACCTTTGGCAGTGGTCATCCTGCAAGCAGTTGGGTTCATTCTGAATTCCCTAGGCTTCGGATGAGAACTGCGTGTGCCTCAGTAGCAGTCTGTGATGTTGCAGAGGGTGCAACTGATGCTCTGCTCACGCTATCTGGAAATTCTTAACAGTTTTTTTACCAACTGGGCCCTACATCATGGCACTGGCCATCTGTGGTCTTGCCCATGAGCAAGTGAGAGTAACATGGTTGAGAACATGCAGAGAAATCAGTACTATGTAAAGGAACTCCAGGTCTGCTACACAGAGCAGCTTGTGTACAGTGCCTTTCCAAGTCCTAGAAGGGAGAACTGTACTGCTTAGTGTATCTGCCCGCAGTCCACAGTTCTTCCAAAGATCTTCCCATTCCCTCGTAATTCTATTAACACATACTGAATCAGTAGAGGTGATACAGTCCATTATTATTTTATCTTTTGTTGTTGCTGTTTTGTTTTCTTGTTGTTTGTGCTTTGAGCGCTGTGTAGCTGAGGCTGGCCCCGAACTCACTATATCCCCCCAAGACTGGCCTCAAATTCATGATCCTCCTACTTCAGCCCCCCCAAATACTAGGATTGCAAGTAGGTACCACCATACCCATTTAAATGCCATTACTATTTTTGACATTTGTAAAAATAATTATAAGGTAGAGTATAAATGTTTACTCAAAGTTGCAAAAAAAATCTTCAGAATTCCCAGGGAATTTATATCTATGAAGAGGTTCAGTAGCCCATAGCTGAAGTCAGCCGGCTCCATCTGCCTTGAATTGCTGTGAGGTGCTGTCCCTACAACTTCAGCACTATGGAATCATAAGTGGAAAGAAGAAATGTAGGCTATCTTAGCATCATATGGCCCATGTTCTCACAGCAGAGAAAGCCAGGCTGTTGTCTCCCCAACTTTAGTCATTTCTGTCCATCTGTAGCATTGGAACTTTCTAAAAAAATGTTATTTTTTTTTTTATTTTATGTGTATGATGTTTTGCCTGCATGTAGGTAAGTGCACCCGTGTCGTGCAATGCCCATGGAGGTCAGAAGAGGCTGTTGGATCCTCTGGGACTGGAGTTACAGACAGTTGTTAGCTGCCATGTGGGTGCTGGGCTTCAAACCTGGGTCTTCTGCAAGAACGACCAGTGTTCTTAACCACTGAGCCATCTCTCTAACCCCCATCTGTAGCATTTGAATTACTTCAGATTATTCCTAAATCTACTTTGAGCCAAATATACAATAGAGTTTTATTTTAAGAAATAATGTAAAATTGTGGAATAGATGTGTGTGTGTATACCACTTCACACCAATAGCGATAAAGCAACTGCATAATTATAAAGCACATTCATGTAGTAACTCTAGCATTCATCCATGTATTCCATTTTGAAATAACTCTTCTTAGCTACAGGGTTGAAGTTATGTGCAAATTCACACATCTGCCTAAATGGGGAGCCAGGGCTAAAATCGCCTTCAACAGAAATTCTGGGGCTCTGACTTCTGTCTTCAACAAGACAATGGATGACTTGCATTAGAGATGTATCTTTGCTCTGGGAAACTGTTATTGAGTATGTTAAAGCTGTAATGAAATGCTTCTTCTAAAGAAAAAAAACTTGAAATTTAATTAAACCAAACAAAACAAAACGTTCTTTTTTATGTTTTTCTGATTTCACTTTTACTATTTTCTCAGTCTAAGATGTTTTGTCTCTCTTTTTCATCCCCACTTTCTCCTGCTCATTCTGCAAGGTCCTCTGTCTTAGACACACATTTTAGGGCCAGAGCTTAGTTTAGTGGTAGAGCACTTTCTGGTAGTGCCTTGTGAACTTAAGCCCTGTGTTGGATCCCCAACGTAAATAAATAATAAATAATAAACAAACTCACATTATTCTGTTTCCTCCCCTCTGGCTTCCTCTTATTGTCTCTGAACCTTCTAACTTCTATAATATATAATAGCTAAATCATGTACTGTCTTTGTGTGTGTGTGTGTGTGTGTGTGTGTGTGTGTTATGCATTGTGTACACATGGGGAGGGGTTCTTACGCCAGTGTGTGCACATGTGGAGGTAAATGGAGGCCAGAGAAAGATATTCGGTATCCTGCTCTATCTCTTCACCATATTCCCTTAAGAGAAAGTGGAATCTGGAACCCACCATTTTTGAATCTGGAACCCACTATTTTTCAGCTAGGCTGGTGGCCAGTAAGCCCCAGCAATCCACCCAGCACTGGGATTACAGGCGTGTGCAGCCATGTCTGGCTTTTTACATGTGCAGGGGATCCCCGACCATGTCCTTGTGCTTGTGCATCATACACCCTTACCCACTGACCATTTTCCTGGTCCCTAGCCCCACCTCTTTTATTTATTTATTTATTTACTTATTTATTTATTTATTTTTGAAGGTTCTCTCTATATAGCCTAGGCTGGCCTCAAGTACATTAATTCCTATCAACCTAATTGCAAGCATGGGCAGATCTTTTGAGAACTGTGGGCTGTAGGCAAATGGGACAAGACAGACAACTCTACCTTTGATGGCACAGTAGGACAAGGACTCGTCTGTCAAAACTGGCCTCTGTGAAGAGTGGGGAGTGCCTCCTTACACAGCACTGCTTTCTCTGAGTTTTCTCAAGGGTGCTATTCTTACTTCCTACGGGTGCCTGTGAGCAGGACCAGAAAGCCAGTGTAAAATGAAGGTGTGGGGCCTCTTCAAGGAGGCCAGCCTAAGCACTAGGGTTATAGGCATGTACTGTCATGTGTGTCTCAATGAAAGAAAGGAAGGAAGGAAAGAAGGTCCCGAGAGAGAGAGAGAGAGAGAGAGAAAGAAAGAAAGAAAGAAAGAAAGAAAGAAAGAAAGAAAGAAAGAAAGAAAGAGAAAGAGAAAGAGAAAGAGAGAAAGGCTTAATGCCTGTTTGCACAGACTCCCTAAGGATAAAGACAGCCTTGTGGACCCAAGGCCTTTAGCACAATGCCCTACTCTGTTAATGCTTGTTAAATATTAATGGATTCTGAAACAGAAATATTCTTTGAGCTACAGCTGAAATCTTATTTAGTAATGGGCCTCAAGTGCTCTTCTTTATATGGATTAAAACACTTTTGAAATGATGTAATTACTTTCCCATCTCAATTGCCCTCTCTGAGTTTATCATGACAGTTTGTTAAAATCATCCCAGTCTCCTAAAACATGTGCTGTGTAAGTGCCCGTGGAGTGTCATGACCCCTTATCGGTATCCAGAAGAGAAAACGAATGTCAGACTTTCTTGTGACATGATATAATAGCGAAGATTTATAATAATGGGTGACATGAACACATTACAGATTGCTTCATCTGTAATCTCTCTGGGTTTTATTTCCCCAGGTCAAAATCCAGTTTAGATGGTGCCACTTATTCAGGCGATAAGAATGAGTGTAAAGTCGAAAGCAAGAGTAATGCCAAGGCCGAAAGGAAAAAGTCTTCGTCTTCCAGCCAGGTAATGGGGGGCTGGAATGCGTATTGGCCCTGAAGGTGACAGAGCCATTGGGGCCATAGAGAAAAAGAATCCAGGAACGCAGCTTCCTACTAACTAGGGCTAACCAGGCACAGAGTTTAGAGGACTTGTAAGGACAGGTAGGCGCTGTTTTTCCAGTCAATTGATTTCCACAACCAACCCATCAACACACAAGGAGAGGTAGAATGCCAAGCTGTGGCCTCTGACTCTGCCAGAGCCCAAGGAGCAGAAACAGACATAGCCAAGTGCTTGTCTGCTAACTCACAAGACCAGGGGAGTGTCACACCCACACACTGAAGTCTCATCAGGCACTAGCTGCCCACAGAGAAGGAAGCCCTGTGAACAGGGCCACACCTCATCAGGAATAGTTTCAGTTCTGTGCTATAATACATCTAGTGAGGTGACAAAACCCAGTTCTGCCTCAGTGCGACACCTCTACAGGAACCAGATTTGGGATATTTTGGTTTTCTTTTTGTTTTATTTTGGATTTTGGTGCTGGAGATTGAACCCAGAGCCTCCTGCCTGCCAATGACACACCCCACTGCTGAGCTACACCTCTAACCCCGTTTTCTGCATTTTGTTTCTTTCTTTGGCACATCTTTCCTAAATACGTGAATATACGCCTGCCAAGAACTAAACCAAATAGTTGACACACACATGAAATTTAACAAACTATTTTAATTTCTAGTTGTCTCTCAAGGTGTGGCCTTTCAGTAAGATACTACACTTATTTGCTATGTCAATTTTTTTTTTTTTAGACAGTCTTAACTCTGTAGTCCAGACTGGCCTTGAACTCATGACAGCCCTGCTTTAGTCTCTCAAGTGCTAGGATTGCAGACATGAGCCACCATGCCTGGCTTTGCTGTCGATTTTTAATCTAGATCATTTTGGGACATGGCGTGGGGAAAGCATTTATTACACATATTTTTGGAGATTCTTTAGTGTAGAGTTGGTTTCTGTTTGTTGGTTTTGTTTTGTGCTGGGGATTGAACCCAGGGTCTCACACTGGCTAGGCAAGCACTCTACTACTGAACTAACATCCCGAGCCTTTCCTTTTTTTTTTTTTTTTTTGAGACAGAGTCGCTTACCCAGTATATCCCAGACTGGCTTTGAATATGAAGTCCTAATGCATCAGGTTCCTGAGTAACTAGAATTATAGGCATGTGCATCATGCTCAACTGACCTGGGATATTTAAAATTAAGTGTGCAGCCAATTGAAAGCCAAGTCTCAGGACTGGAGAGATGGCTCAGTGGTTAAGAGCACTGGCTGCTCTTGCAGAGAACCTGAGTCAGGTTCCCAGCATCCACATGGTGACTAATAACCATCTGTAATTCCAGTTCCAGGGGATCTGATGCTCCTTCTGGCCTTTGCAGGTACTTTATAACATGGGGCCACTTACATACATGCAAGCAAAACACTCATAAACATAAAATGAAAATTTTAAGAAAACCAGTCTCAGTAAACACTTCCTCTCTTACAACATATAGCTTTCATCACCTGATGCAGGCTTGGTGATGTGTAGTTTCACACCTCTTCTAGAATAGAGAACAGAACTAAATCCCCTTCAGAAGAAATTCCAGAACCCTGATGTAAAGTGTTCTTCCAGAAGGCAGTGTGCACTACTGTACATACGATGTTCATCTATAAAGCAGCCAACTTGTGGGACTGTCTACCATCTTCATCGCCTGATCTAGAGCTTTTCTTTATAACAGTAGAAGGGCTAGTTTTGCCACTGAGAGCTCTGCTGGTTTAGATGATAAACAATCAGAGGCCTATTTTTCAGAGTACTTAGACATTTTCCTTGAAAGCATCCTGAAAGGTGAAGTGCTTCTGTGGCAAGAGGACTCAGCCCTGCCTCATGGCAGCCGTGTGTTACATCCCCTGATATTCCTAGTGCACTTTCCTAAGCCCTGGGAAGGGATAGCAGGTTCCCAGAGTGTTCTGAGGATGATTCCCGTGTAAGCATTTCACTAACTGTAACTTGCTGGCTGTCCATTGTCCTCACCACCGTTGTGGAGACAGGTGCTATTTGCAATGAAGCCATTTGCAGCATTTCAGGCTCTGGGATCTTGTACAGCCCTGGAGGGTTAAGTCTTCCCTATGGAATCCTACTTGTCTGCATCTGCCCTTCTATCACTGGCTAAGGAAATGCTTGCACAACCACATAGTGATAGTGACTCCATGTTGTTCTGGATAGTGGTCCCTTTAGATGTGTTACAACATGTAAGTCTGATGGGTTTCCCTCTGAGGCAGGGATTAATTTTTCCCTCTGAAACACGAAAAAAAAAAAAAAAAAAAAAAAACTGAGGCCCAGGGAAGTTAAATGACTAGGCCCCAAGTACACACCAAGGCAAATCTGAGTACAAGGCTTCTAAGCCCGGCACCTCCTGAGAGAGTTTATGGTGTATTTCTAGCACCTTTAGAACATCATCTCATCTATTAACACAAATACATTTGTCTTGTTCTGATGCTCAGCTGACCACCCGGCAAGGCATTAGTCATGGTAGAAAACGAACCTCTGTGATCCCATGAACCCTTTGTCTCACTGAAGGGCTGAACTGGAGATTTATAAGATCAGAGAGGATGAATTCCTACAGAGAGCATTCAGAGAGAGAAAATTAATCTATTTAAGCTAAAGTTAAAATATGTGATGGTCACTAATAATTAGGGAAATGGAAACTAAAACCACTTTAAGATTTCACCTTACCCCAGTCAGACTGGCTAAGATCAAGAAAACAAATGATACCAAATGTTGGAGAGGATGTGG